TATCTTTAAAACGAAGAAGATTGGAGCAATTCCTCTCATATTAATGAAAGATGAGGCTTTGCTTTATTGTTTTATCTGCCCTGTTGCTCTTTTGCTTTCACTACGAAAGAGCTGCAGGAGAGCCGACTACGTTTGGCGACTTTGCCAGCTTCTTTTACCACGGAAAAGACAAATCAAGGATTCCCAAGACGGAGAATAACTTTTTCTAGAGCTAGTGTTGATTATAAGACTCTCCAGGACAAGACGAACACACAGACAAAGCGGTCAAAGCGAACACACAGACAGGACGACTGCTTTACCCTCGACCAACGCCTACGCGGTCTCGGGTAATGACAGACAGACAAACTGAGTACCTAGTCCTCGCCTACGCAAAGCTGGGCGAGGCCAATAATACTTATGTGTTGTTAAGTAATAGTCATTGTGTAATGGAATAATCCAATTCAGTGCCGGAGTACAATAACATTATTCATGATTATTGATGATACAATAGTGATACTTCTCATGATACACTGATACACTCAATGATATACTTCAGTTACACACACACCCACTACTTATATTGTACTCTTTGGATCTGAAGAAACTACTACTGAAGTTGTACTTCAAAGGTCAATAGCTGCATGTGTCTATAGAATTCTGTCAGTTACTATTGTATTTATTATAAGATTTGCTTCATGTATACATGCACAAACCACAGTAAAGCAGTGTATCAGAAACCACCCTATGCAAACCCACCCTCTGTAATAATATCTGTCCTTTTGGTATGTACCACCCCAATCCACCCTCTTCTGTAATAAGATATTTTAATGATATTCAGTGTTATTGGTGTGTTCCTGTAACTATTTTCATGAGGTCCTATATACCACACTCATACACTGATACACCCATCCTTTATACACTGGTAAGCTTACATGTAGTGCAACTGTACTACTCCATTTCAGTTTACAGGGAAAGCTTGTTCCTTTGATTAACTAGTGAAGGTTACTCTTACTTTGCAGTACTAGAAAGGATCTTCCCTTCAATTCCTTTTATAAAGTCCTTCTTTCTTTATTGTGGTGTAAGTGATCACTGAAATGGCTATACCTTAAGTAACCTAATTCTCTCATTGTCCTCCATACTATAGTACAAGATGATTGATGTCTCTCAATGGAGAGCAAGTATTGGACTGTGGAACTACTGTCAAGCTGCCCCCAGTAGACCAGCTAATGGCCACCACTCTCACTCATTCAAATCTGCAGTAGACAGCAAGTCAGGCAGTACTACATCAGGAGAGAAGACATCTAAACTGCCAGAAGCTCTGTCTCTTATTGTTGCTCTTCTTTTATCTTTATTAAGATATATGAAGCTCAATTTTATTCCTCCAACTGGTAAACAAACTAACAGTATAATTTATATTACCATACATTGTATTTATATAATAGGTATAATTTCTGTTACTGCAATGATCTGCCTCCAGTCATTAGTCTTGTTTATAGCTACTATTGGAAGTAGCTCTGACCTTATCTACTATTTGTTTTTACTTCTCCTCCTCCTCTTATCAGGAGATGTTGAACTCAATCCTGGTCCTATGATTGATGATCAACCAACTTGTCTCGTCTTTGCAAGGTGTCTTAAACCACTTGTCGACTGGAAACCATTTGCTCTTTGTCTTCCTGGAATAACACAATCTGATGTCAAAATAATTGATAAAACGAAAAGAAATGCTTACCTTAAGAAAATGGCTTTACATAAGAAATGGCTACAAGTTAATCCTACAGCATCATGGAGAGATGTCATTAATGCTTTGAAACAATGTAAAGAGAATGAACTAGCTAGAACCATTGGAAACAAAGTAACAGATCCCACAGCTGGAATAAGTACTCATGATGGTGTGGATAATCCTGGTCCTATAACAGGTGAACATAATTTTATACACTTCATATGAAAATAGTATTCTCTTTTGTAGTATTGAAAGTTATAATTATTATTAATGAATCCTTCATTATATAGAAAAGGAGCTTAATATGGCATCAGTCACGAAGATATTTACTTATTCTGCTCACCATTACATGCTAATAGGGACTGGATTGAGTGTAAATGTGTCTGATCTGATGCAAATACCAGGAGCAGCAACTAACAATCTTATGTTGGTATTCCAGAGGTGGTTTGATGCTGATAAAGATGTCAATTGGGATGCATTAATAAAACTATGTGATGACTTTCCTGATCAACTGGGCAAAGCAAAATCTAACATTCTGGTATATTTAGGTAAGAAATTTTAATGTTTGTAAGTGTGTATACCTTATTGATGATCAACAGTCATTAGACTCTAAAACTCCATACATTAGGTCAGCCTATTCCTGATAATGTCAGTTCACATACTGTATTACCATCACCAGTAGATGATATATCCAATACACCAGTTACTAATATTACAGGTAATAAATTATTTAATGTGTATACATTGTTTTGTATTTACCTTGATCAATAGGTCAGTCTGATGTAGCTAAACCCATTAGTTCAATACCTGATGATGTTCAAGGATATGCTGACAATATGAGACAACTATACAAACACCAACCTATTGTTGCTACGGACTGGCCGCCAAGAATTGGAAAAGATTTCTTCGGAAGACTAGCACTAGTAGAAAAACATAACTCTAGCACACAAGCAGAATCAGCTTGGCATATGCTAAGAGGACAAGTTGATAAAACAGTTAAACTAACTGAAAACAAAGAGATAAGCGTTGAAGATGTCCTCCAACCCACAGATAGTTCTCTGTCTCTCAGAGTAGTAATAGACGGTCCTCCTGGTATTGGCAAGACCACACTCTGTCGTAAACTGTTAAATATGTGGTCTAATGAAACACTTGTACACCAACAGTATGACTTGGTACTTTACTGTCCTTTAAGAAATAGCAAGATAGCTACAGCTACTACACTAGCTGACCTGTTTGTGCGTCAACGTTATGAAGTTCCCATAGTAGCTGAATGGTTTGAGAAGAGGAATGGAGAAGGATTACTAATAATCTTTGAAGGTTGGGATGAACTAAGTGAACAATTCAGACAGTCTTCATTAGCTGCTAGTATCATTTGTAAAGATGAGTTAGACCAATGTTCAGTAATTGTAACCTCTCGTAGCTATGCCTCCTCTTCACTTTTGAAAATGGATACTCTCAGTAGACATGTTCAGGTCATTGGGTTTTCTAAGGAAGAAATATCAACAGTAATTATACAAACACTTCAAAAAGATACAAAACTAGCACAAGAACTCATTGATAAAAAAAGAGAAGATGATAAAAATACAAAACCTTTCACAACTGCTCAAGGCAATAAGGACTCACAACTAGCAGTGAAACTCATTAATGATCTTAAAGTACGAAATGATGTCCAATCATTGTGTTATGTACCACTAGTCTGTTCCATGGTCATCTTAGTTTATTGTAAGGAAGGAGGACACTTACCAACAACACTTACTCAACTCTATAAGAACTTTATTCTACAATCTATCAGAAGACATGTTAGAAGACATGACATTAACCCACATACTTTATGTAGTCTTTCTTCATTACCATCACAATTAGCTAAACCTTTACAAGAGATGTGTCAATTATCTTATACTAACCTGGCTAATACAAGAATGACATTCTCTTCACATCAACTACAGTCACTGAGTGAGGCAGTCAAGGAAGACTATCTTGGATTGATGACAACATTCACAGAATATGATGAGGAGAAGTATCAGTTCCTTCACTTGAGTATACAGGAATTTCTAGCTGCATGGTGGATAGCTAAGCATGAGAGAAAGACAGAGGAAGTGTTTAAGGATCACTTTGATGATGATCACTTTCGAATGTGTCTGAGGTTTGTGGCAGGTCTAACTCACCTTGAACATGAGAGCTATGAACAGTATTTTGATAAACAACAACTTGACTTACAGTGTAAGAGGAAGCCATTGTTTAGATTTGAGACTTGTCATCTCTCCTATTTCTATCAGAATCCTGATGAGATTAGATTGATTGCTCTAACATCTTCAAACAATAATCATATCAGCAGATCTGATGGTTTTGACAATGTTCCCATTCTTCTCCTTCAACTCCTGTATGAATCACAGAACACAACATTATGTCAAGTATTAGCACAATCCATCAACAACCACTCACTGTGTCTGGATAGAGTATCATTATCATTGTTTGACTGGTTGTGTCTCAGTTATTGTATAAACAATTCCTCCACAGTGTGGAATCACTTGCACCTAGGCCATCTATCTAACCAGTCACTATCAGTCTTCACAGCTGGACTAACCAATAACTCACTACAGACCCAGTGTAAGAGACTGGAAGTAGGGTTGAGAGAACACACTGATGAATTAATACACAAATTATTACAATCATCACTTCTATACAATATTCAGGAGTGCTACTGTGAATTAGGATATGGTCAATATGTTCCCTGTCTTGTATTGTTACAGTTCCTCAATCTTTCTCAATTGAAGATACTGCACTTAATGATGTACTATCCTACTATACCAACAGTTGACAATACATACTACACAGGCAAGTGCACTGAACTTGAGAAATGTATAGAAATGAATTTAACACTACAAGAAATGAAAATTGAGTATCATGGACAGAATGAAATATCAAATACCATTATCAGTGTCATTAGAGGAGTATCAAGAAATAAAACAATAACATCATTAACAATGTGTGCTTATTATGCTCCTCCTCCTCTACCTGATGGAGTAATAGAGCAGTTACTGAAGGATAACAACACATTACAAGCTCTTTCACTGGACATACATGATGATCTCCTACCATCATCATTGAATATAGTAGAAGTGAACACACCACTGACTGCTCTAGAGATAGGGCGATGGAAGAGTAGTAAACTGATGACATTATCACTCCTTCCACATATCAAAGGATTACATTGTCTGATACTACATGATCCATACCCAGCACATCTTCTATTTCTCTCTCATCCCAGTCTACATACACTTACTTTACCACTAGACACAGCTGAGAGTGCTATTGAATTATTTACTATTCTACAAACCAATGCTACACTTAAAGCTCTGAGTGTGGAGATAAAGGAAGAGAGAGTATATACTAACAGTATGGGTACTAGTCTTCAAGGCATGCTAACACAAAACCAAACACTGAAATACCTTGAGATAAATAATGACATTCTCATTCCCAGCTCATTCCTGTCCTTCCTAACAACTGGTCTCAGACGCAACACCAGTCTACACCAGTTGAGTGTATCCATTCCACTGAATGAAGAGATAAGAACTTTTATTAATGTCATTTCTCAAAAGAACAATATCACAGAACTTAAAGTGAACTTTAAACTAGATCAGTTATACAGTAACTGTAGTAGAGAAGAGAAGGAACAAATAATGACACCATTTTTTTATGAACAGGTATTACCTGCTGTTACTATCATGTTACAGTCACATACAACCATCAGACTATTGAGGATAGAGTATAAATATCATAGTATTAATAAAGAGTCATCTCCACTTAACTGGATAGAACTGGTACAACATTTATATGAAACTATCTTCATCCATCCATCACTTGAATATATTGAGATTAAAGGAGACCCTACTCCTCCTCTCCTGGTGGAAACTCTTAAAGATCAAAAGAAGGCATTGATTGATAGACACAGAAAAGAACAACCACACAAACCACTACCAATAGTTATTTTTTATTAATTATTACTTTATTTTTCCAGTTAACTTGACTCCTGTGAATGTTAGAAATTAACTTTTAAAATTACAAATTTTATAGGCTTCATTTGACATTTTTGATTAAAAAAATTAGTTAAAAGGTGTGGCTAGTTATAAAATATAAATGGTGATAAAGATAATTATTCTACCTGATCTTCCTAGTTCCTAGTTGAGGCTAGTTCCTACCTTTACTGATGGTAACATCTTTCACTAACTACCTCACTTCCAGTTGTACCTAATAATACTCAATATACTCCAATACTCAGATCGGGGGTTGGTAAAACAGGGCTCGGGAGGGGCTCGCCGGGCTCCGGAAATTGCGTGGTAAAACCATAGATCTATGATATCATTATATCTCAGTTACGGTATAAAAACATTAAAAA